TTTCTGTTAATAAACAGTCTCATCTTTACCACGTTGATAGGTTGCTGTTTAATGCATATGGTGCTTACACAGAGTTCACTGAAATATTTTATCTTATACTGATGGAAACACTACTCTTTATGAGATGAACAAAGACAGGTCTCAGCAACTTCACATGCCAAAAACTAGGGTCAGCTTTTTAACAAGCTAAAGGTATTTGTACATAAAAATGCATTTTCATCATTTTATGAAAAACTAACAAGACAAAAATTTAAGGTAATTAATTCTACTGCTCATACTTATCCTTCCAATAAGCCTCCCTTTCAGCCAAAAAGACCCCTGCATGGAGGGAGAGTAATATTAAAGCCAGGCTCCGTTCCCAGCAGAGCTATATCCTGTTTACCATGCCAAAAAGGGCACACAGGAATTCACAACTAGTGTGCATTTGCTTCTCAACATTTCATGGTCGAGGTTCAGGCTACATTATAAAGACTTAAAATAAATACAATGCAGAGCTCAGCTTTGAGAGTCACTGCTGAAGAGAAGCATGCACTTCCCTGTAGATATTTATAGCCGTCTCTGCTTCTACGAGGAGCAATTTGGAGGGGTAGAGCAGTCAACATTTTATTTCCATTCAGAAACTACGCAGTGATTTATGCTTGTTAAACTTGGCATGGTCAAATGTCCCATGACTCGCTTTCTAGTAATTCCTTTTATTAAACTCAACTTACTGATCAGCTAAAGCTTGATAATAGGCACGGCAATAACAGCATGGCAATTTTATTTAAAAATGTAGATATTTTGTTATCTGCTTTTGAGCAATCATTAGCCTCTCTATGTTGGATATGATACTAAAAGCCTTGATACTTTTCTGTCCTAGTGATAGAAATTTAAAGCAAAATCAAACATGACAACTTGAAGTATAAAAGAACTGGGAAAGTTGCTTTTAAGAACTGGGAAAGTTGCTTTTAAGTACAGGCAATAAGATACAAATTCTCTGCAGCTGTATCACTGACATAATATACCCAGAAAAGGCAGGGGTAGAGATGATTTAGGGTAAGTAACATATTGAATAATCATATTCACAAAACCGAAGTCAAAAAATTCCAGAAATTATAACACAAGTCACAAAGAACCGCAGTGAAATCACATTTTTAAAGACTCCTAAATATACAGTCCATTCACAAGACTTTTTGTATTTATCAAGATGCATGCGAGTACTTTTATCTCAGCTCCAACTAAGACTAAAGAATGTAGTTGCCACTCTCTTAACCCAGATTTTTATTTTATTGTATTTTTTTTGGCAAATACTGCAGGTAAGATATATACTTTGATAAAAAGCAGAAGTGAAGATGTAACCTTCAGGATAAGAAAGCTTTCCTGTATTATGCATAGAGAGGGAGAAGGGTGTTGTTATGTTTGAATAGCTTTTAAGGTTCATATAAAGGGTGTAGACCTCCTTATCTTCCTTCCAGAAGTTAGTAACTTTGTCAGATGATGGAAAACATAAAAATGACTTTCTCATCTCTCTCTCTTGAATGTGTGTGCTGACTCAAAAACATCATTTTTGTGCAAAATTTTACACCTCAGCTTCAAAATGATCTCAGTATAAAAAGAGAGCGACATCTCATTTACAGGCAGTACGGTTTGGGTAATGTAGGAACTTCTGTACCCTAAACTTAGCTTTAGGACTGACTGGCTGTGTAGTTTTGGGGTAAAAAAAATAAAATAAATAAAAAAGGCTTGCTCTCTTTTCCCATTAAAAAAGGCTTCCCACAATAATACTGAAAAATCACCAGTAGTCTGCGGTGGCTTTGGGAAAGAGACTTGGTCTGTGTGTGACAGTGCACAGCTGTGAAATGAAATACATAAATAGTGGTGTGTGTAATGGACACATACAAAATTGTCCCATGTCCCTCCTGGATGCAAAGTGGCATTGCTTTAAAACAGATACACTGAATGACCACTTCCTTTTTTGAAATAGCATTACCAGGAATGTTTCTTATTGTTTCTCATGACAAATAGCAGATGCAAATAGCAAAGCAAATGCAAATAATGCAAGTAATGTATATGCAAATAGGAACTCCTAAAACACACGCATTTTACAGATGAATTCTCCTGTGGCTAAATATCCCTAATGTCTTATTCTCATCTTCCAATGGGACCTCAACTCTGCTATGAACTTGCATTTTACATGCATCATGAATTTTGATAGTGGGTTGTTAATTCAGGCTACCCCAAGCATGAGAAAATAGGACAAATGTGATGTTTGCCATCATTTAGCAGTAAATCTGAGGCAGGTTCAGGTAGTGCTTCTCAGCTCACCCAGCACAGCAGAGTAAAAACCAGTACTTGAAGCCATCGTCCCTGTCTCTGTGTTATCTTGCTCAGATTTTTGTGGTCTCTCCTCTGGAGCTTCCCTCTTCATTTTCCATACAAAGCTCTGCCTGCCAGTACCATAGCCAGTGATAAGGGCAAGTGGTGGCCCTGATGGAGCTCTCACCCATGTGCTCTTCAGGGTCAGCTCAATAGTACCTTGCAGTTCCTGAGCCCCAAGGCATAAAAGATGCAGATTTTCTCAGTCAGGCAATCATTCCTAGTGTCCATATCACTGTACAGACACTGAGAAAGACGGAGTGAAAGACCAAAAAGCCTTAAAAAAGAAAAACGTAACATAAATAAAGGAGGCTGGTCTGTCCTGAAGTGAAATCTAACTGCAAGCCAAAAACAGAGCTGGATATTGAGTTGTCACGGAGGTCCCTGCTCCAAGGGCAAAGCAGATTAATAAGAAAGGAGGTGCCTAAAGGCCTCCATCAGGTGCTAGCACAATGTATTTATGAAACAACTGTGATTACGTATCACAGCTCTGTAGCTGGCCAAACCTTCATGCAAAGGGGCTGGAGCTTCCAGAAGTAACTGCACAAAATATTACTCCTTTCTATCATATATGATCTGGCTCGCATATCATTTAAGCGAAAAGAGAAGAAACAAATTCAAGAAGCTTCTCTTCCAGAAAGTCTTGAATTTTCCCATTCGAGGGGGAGCTGCGATGCATGCATCGTTAATTTCTATGCAGAAAACATTGTTCACTTCAACCAGCAATTAGTGGTAACATTTCTATCCTGTGCAGTGATGAGATTTTTATGCTAATCATTACACAGCAGTAAATTAATCATTTGGGCACATTTAGATGGTATGTATATTTCATGAGACAGATATAGATATCAAGATCAGCTTGATATTTACTCATGGTAAATGGAAGTGTCTCAAATTGTCATGGGGGAAGCATACTAACTAAATATGCAGCCAGAGATGTTTGCAGTGTAACAGCAGAAGAAGCACAGCTTCATCTCTTGGCCCAAAGAAATAACTCCCTTCCTTTGGTTTTAATTATTTTAAGGGAGGTAAAACTCTTGTGGGATCATATAAAACTGAATCATTCAAAGAGTGGCAGTGAAACTCCAATAATGTCTTGACACACGAAGGACAAAAGCAGCAACTTTGTTCCCGATCCTGTAATTTTTCTTTTATTACTGGCAAAATTACCTACATTACATTATGCAGTATTGAAAAGAGACTTTTCATCAGCATTTGTGCTATAGTCTGGTCGGGTAAATGAATTATGTATCTGACTCGTCCCTCTGTAACTATGTCTGAAAGCTTTGAGTTGTAGCAGAAAGGAAGCCTACCCAGGGGCCTCCCTTCTTCTCACCAGATGCAAGAGATTTGTAATACCTTCAGGAAAATGTTTATTTGAAATTTAAATTTTTTGACACATATTTAAATACTACTGCTCTTTTTTTTTTTCAGCTCTAAGCTCGCAGACCTTTGCAGGCAAAAAGCAATCTAGCCCAAAGCTGACAGCATTTTATTTTATCAGAGGGAAACATACACATGGTCTCTTTATCTTAGAACGACGTCAAAATACTTACGAATAGCACAAATTTATGACAGGTGACCCAGACAATGATATATACGTAATATTCTCAACTACTATTTTCTCAGCAGAAGTAAGACTTGAGGTTACTCAAAGATGAGAGGTGGCGTCCAAGTGGAAGGGAAAGTTACGTTGGTATACCTATATCACTTAAGAAGTGTTTTGTATTGAAAATTGATCAACTTCCATATGTTTAATTGCCATCAGTTGGTACAGCAGAATTGCTTCACAGAGCAGGGATAATGATGAGCTATTGCACAGCAGGTACAAAAACCCACTGGGAAAGGAAAGAAATTTATTAACATCTCTCCGTTTATGGAAATTTTTGAACAGGCAAGGTTATCAGGAGAGCACTGTGAACAGCCAAAATTTAAGATCTGAGAACTATTGTAGATCAGACCAAATAGAAGAGGTGAATCAAAAAGACTGTGCCTTATTTTAATCCAAAACAGGTTTTATAAGAAAAAAAAATCTTTGTGAAAAATCAAATTCAGAAATAAATGAGTTTTAATCTCAATTAACATAAAAATAAGATTGTGATCTTGATTCTTGATAAATATATATTTTTTCAAAATCTGCTCTGCAAGTATTCACTCCTGAACTATGTATCTGAAGTCGTTGTGAAGGTTAAATTTTCTTCAGGGGCACTATGGTCTTAATTTTTATGGCTTATCTTATTCAACCTATGAGCCAACGAGCACATCTTGGGATATATTTTGGAGTCATGCATACAGCATCATTGTTCTTCGCTCCAGTGAGCATTCTTGGCTCCAAAGATGCTCTACCTGACTTAAGGTAATTAAGGATTTCATTCACCAATGGAGAAAAACACAAATAAACCCTGTTTTCAAGAGAGCACAGGTGAGGACTTGTACCAATAAATGTAACTTCACTGAAAATCCTTCTGAACCTCTGATGTAGAGAGCAGCATACCTTGAGGAAAAAGGATGCAGAAGAAAGTCGATGTATTTTATGAAGGTCAAAAGGCTGGATTCAGAGATAGTTGAGGGTATGTCAGCAGTGAGCACCACTAGCTTTGCTCTTGCCAAACAAGCAAGGAAAAATGAACAAACCACACACGACATGCCTTGAAAGCATAGGACGTTTTTGCCAACTTTATTTCAATACTGTTTCTTCAAAAAGAAATAGCAGAGTATCTCGGGCAGCTTTTATGTTCCTGAAATGATTTGGAGGGAAAATTGAAATGTTTAATAAACTTGATGTAAAACCATTATTAGGGGGTTTATCATGGTAAACAGGTATCACAGTTATTAATTCCATAAAAATGAATGGCTCATCACTAAGCTATTGCTCAACTACAGAACTGACCAACAGCACACAAGATTGCCTGCCATTTGGTTTAATACTCTGCGTTGTTTGTTACATCCGCTGTTTTGCATTGATTATACTGCAGCAGTTAGTCACATCAGCAAGTCTGCTTGTTGTAAAATTTAAAACCACAAACAAGCACCATGTCGCAAAGAAATGAGAAGAAATCATATGCTCTAAAATGTTCCCCAACACCAGTCGTTATCTGCTTTACAGAAACCTCCGAAACTCTGAATATACATCATCTTGCAGCAGGAAGGCAAAACAAACAAAACAAAGCAAAAACAAAGCAAAACCAAACCAACCAAACTAAGAAAACAACAAACCAAAACAAACCAAACCGCAGGGTAGTACATAATAATCAAATTCCCAAGTTCACTCCTCCTTAAAAGTGCCCATGTTCCAGCATCCTCTTGCCTGAATTCCAGCAGGAGAGACCCAGCAAAGTGAGAGGGGCAGCTCTGTGAATGGCTTCAGCACCATGAACCAATATCTGCTCTTACACTTCATTTGGACATCAGCTGGCAAGTAGTGAAGGTCACAAATCACAGCTGTGATGGCCGTCTCTGAAACATCATGGCATTTCAGAGAAACACTGCCACACACAATTCTCTGCATGTCACGACTGTGAGTTTTCCATCAGAAAGAAAAGGACAGGCACAGATTTCCATGGGGAGGTGACCAAAGAAACACAGGAGCTGCTGCTGCCTGGAGAGCTGGAAATCCCATTATTGACTTTCTATCCTCTAGGTCCTGGTTTATCTGAGTCTTGCATGAAGCAACCTTCATTAAGATTCAGCAGTAGGGGCTGACGGAGCTATCTAAAGCCATACCATTTTACCATGGTATGGTAAACTACCTGAACATTTTACTATATATTACCATTAGAACAGCCAAGGTGGCATCCCTGCGCATGGCAGGACAGGGTTGGAACTAGGTGATCTTCAAGATCCCTTCCAACCCAAGACATTTAATGGTACTATGATTAATATGTCCTAGAGCCTAAAAACTACAGTATTACCTTAAAAACGTAAGAAAAGGCTGTTTTGTTAATAGGATACCATATGAATGCATAGATTGAAAGGCAGAAAACTAACTCATAACATAAACATGTTCACTAACTCAATACAATAATTATTCTGATGCAATGAATTTATTTTCTTATATTTTTTCCTGCTGCACCAGATCAGTTTGTATATAAATGAGTATTTTACTATGACAGAGAGCTATCATACTTTCATCGGAAATTTAAAAAGTACTTAAAAAAAGGAAATTTGAACTGAAAATCACAAATGGAAAACATTAAAATAGCAAAAAGAATCAGGAATGTGTAAAGGAGTATGTAACTTTGAGGAAAGCAGATATAATAATGTGCAAAATCAGGGTGAAAAAAAGGAATTTCCTACAGCTGTAGACCACATGCATTAGTGGACTCACAATCTTTACCGAAGAACAGAAATCTTCTTTCTTGCTGTTTTATTACCTTGGCAACATCTCTTCCATGTCAGCAATTACATAGGAGACAACAGTCCAAACAGCAGCACAGAGATTCATCTGGTTTGGATCCTGAACTGTCATCGTGTCCCCTTGAGAATGATGAAACCAGAAGTATTTACTGAGGTCATCACGCAAGCTGGCACCTACGGAGAAAAATGGGCAATATTCCATTATAGGAATACAAATATTTAAAGAGGAATATAAACTTGAATCCATTCCTGCACTGTTTATTATTGAATCCACATGCAACTGTATAAAGTTCCATATAATAACTGTGCGGAGCCGTGGCATGTGCCATTTGTAGGTTTTAGGTTAATTGACTTGAGGGAGCACGAGGCAGCAAAAATTCACACCGGGGAAAAGCTGCTCTTCCCCGAGAGGCTCGTTTCCTCAGTAACAGTACACATCCATTTTCCTCTACGATTACCAGAGCCCAACCAGCAAAATCCAAGCAATAACCCCCACGTGGCGGCACTTCCTTCTGTTCTTAATCCTGCAGAAACCGAGTCTTTGGTTGTGAGAAGTAATACCAATATTTATGCCTGCTCAGATGGCTAGCGACTGCTTCATTATGTATCCTTGCTGAGGAAAGCTTTTGGAATTTGCTTCTACTTTTGAGCCTCAGTTCGTGACGATGCTGTGCTGTTTCACCACAGCTTTCCAGATAGCCCGAGGTAAGCCGGGCCCACCTTCCAGCAGCTGCCAGGAGCCCTTATCAAACAGGGGCTCAGCGAGTTGGGTGAAGGCGCAGTTCTGCCTCGTCAGGATCAGCTGCCTCCCCCTGGGCCCACGGGCACAGAAAGGACTGAGCTGCCTCAAGCTGTGTGGGCTCAGGCAGCACAAATACAGCCTTGGAGTAGACCGAAGGCAAGAGGAGCAGAAGCTTCTGCCCCACCAGAGATGTGGTATTTGTGCTCTTCCTTCTGGCCATCCTCCTGGTCCAACCTATGACCCCTCTTCAACTCCCTTTCTCATTCCAGTTCCTTTGAGTTCATTATCCCTGCCTCTTCTTTGTGGTTTTATCACAGGATTCTAGGGTGGCTGAGGCTGGCAGGGAGCTCTGGAGGCCACCCAATGCCACCCGTGGCCAAGCAGGGACACCCAGAGCAGGGTGCCCAGCACCACGTCCAGGCGGCTGCTGAAGGGCTCCAAGGAGGAGACCCCACAGCCTCTGGGCAGCCTGTGCCAGGGCTCTGTCACCCGCACAGCACAGAAGGGCTCCTGGTGCTCAGGGGGAGCCTCCTGGGGGCCAGGTTGTTCCCAGGGCCTCCTGTCCTGGCACTGGGCACCACTGCACACAGCCTGGCTCTGTCCTCCCTGCACCCTCCCCTCAGGGATGTACAGACAGTGATGAGATCCCCTGGGCCTCCTCTTCTCCAGGCTTGGCAGCCCCAGGTCTCAGCGTCTCCTCACATGAGAGCTACTCCAGGCCCTCCATCACCTTCATGGATCTTTGGTGGTCTCTCTGCAGTATGTCCATGTCTCACATAACGAATAGCCCATTACTGGACACAGCTTCCATCTTTCCATTTTATCAGCTTCCATCTGCTTTGTTTTTCTCTCAACAACCCTCCCATCCTAACAAAACTCCACCCAAAATTTAGAAAACCTGCTATTTGCCAGCAGCGCTCTGATTCAATACTTCTAACTTCTCTGTGTTGATTCATTTACTCTGCAAGCTGATCAGGGCTAGAAGGTCCACAGCTCTCTGTGTGGGAAGCACCTAGCACAAAAGACCCCCACTCCTTGGTTAGTCATGGAACTGAGAAGACAAATTGTGATACAAGCTCGAGAGTAAGGGTATAGGCCCCAGGCAGAAATACAGACTGAGATTACTCCTACTGTGTCAAGTAATACAGAAATAAAACAGGATTTTTTGATTATAAAGATGAAATAAATAAATCATTCATATAAATAAATAAATATTCATGTATTTATTTACAAGCAGTAGAAAATCAGCATCAGATGATGAGGGCTTTGATAAATTCACGTGTGTTCGTAAGACTTACTGTTATGATCCTTATTGGTCTCACTGAGATGCCTGAAGCCTTTGAAGAGAATGAAACCAACATTTCTCACAGCATAACCGTACATTCCTACAACACATATGTTTTGATTGCTCACATAGTCATTCTGGACACAGTCCAGCTCTCACTACGCAATTACTGCCATGATGGGAACTGACCTGGACTGCTTCTTTCAGTGCTATTTTAGGGGGGAAGAAAAGAAAGGTGACACATGTTATAGTTCCATCCCATATGGAATGAAGATCCCTTCATAAGAGAGAAAGACCAAATGCTGCAGCATATGGTTATACAGTTTGTGATTTCATTTTAAGAGTCTCTTCTTGCTCTTAAGAGACTTGTTTGCCACTGACTTGAACCAATGCAATCCCCCTGAAGTCACTGGGTTGGTTACAGGTGCTGAATTATGTTCCAATAATTTTAGCATTGAATTTATGTCAACTCATACTCACTTTTAAAATTTTATTCTGAATTCTTTTAAACATATACAGCCATAAAGTAACTGAACTATGATAAATTTTTTAACTGATGGAATCCTGCCCTACAGATGCATTATGAGTTAAGTCACTGAGGAAAATCCATTATAGTTTTTGAACATTTTTATAAGACTTAGAGTAAAAATGTGTTGTCTGGAATTTGTAGTAGACATTCCACTAATCATAGTAATTATGAACTTAGAAAGTAGTGTTTTTTCTCTGTGAATGGTACAAGGATAAATACCCTTCCCTTTGTAATGTTTAACTCCCCAAAATAATGCTGAAATAGATTTGTTTCTCTAAATTGATTTAATAATCAGAAAATGATCTAACTTTGACATAAGCAATTACTAAGAACTCTGGCAGAAGTATTTGTCAGGGAGTGTGTGAGAAGAGAAAATGTGGAAGGGTTCCTAAACTGGCCACACTGTCTCTTTAATGTCTTAGGCTATCATTTAAGTCATTGACCTGTAAACATCTTATGAGACTAATGAAAAGACCCCACAAAAGTAGTTTTATACTATGCAATTAGAAACAAAAGTGAAAATCTATATTCTTAGCATTGAATACAAGAGAAGCTTATAGGCAAGCACCCCACACAAGCCTCTAGACATGAAACACCCTCAGGCACAGATATACCTGCAAGCAATTTTCATGTCTCCTGCTCCAAACTTGAGGCTCCCCTGTACTAATGTGAGTTGCCAGCAGATATTTATGGCTTCCAGAGGTCGCCAGGCTGTGGGAAGATGCTGAATATTGCCCCTTCTCCAGCAAATGCATCCAGGACTGAGATGAACCTGTGCAGATGACTGTGAGGAGGGAAGTTGTGAGATACTCTGCAGACTGCAGTCACGTCGAATTACCTAAATAAAGTCAGCAGGATCCTACAGCCCTTTTTCTAAAACACTAACAGAAGAAAAAAATCTTTGAATATAAACAGTCATCCTACAGAATTTAGGAGAAAGGGAGAGAAGAATTCTGCATAATGTTTCAGACAGTAAGATTTCAACACAGATCGGCTGGCTGACCACACTGGATCCTACACAGCCACTCAACAAAGTCTACCTGGAAGTCAAATTTCCCACCTCCAGAAATTTTAAGCATAGTGAGAAATCAGAAAAAAATAATCTAAAGTTCAAAACTCCATTCTCCAACTCTTCTGTTTTTTTCACCTAAATGATTTAAGTTTTTGTTGTTGCTGTTACTGTTTAGATGGTGACATTTCCCTCAGGAACAACAGATAGTAACAAATGGAGGTTTATTTTTGCAAGCTGCATAAGCTAGCAGTCAAGTAAAACAGATGAGTAGCCATGCCTCATAAATCTGCCAATAAATTATTCACCCATCTCCATGCTAGCCACCTACAAAGTGAATAGCACACAGCCTTACAAGAGTGCTGAAAGGTCTAATTAAGTACTTAAAAATCCTCAGAAGGGAGGCGTTATGTAGGTATGCATCACGTATTTAATTCTGATTTCCAGGTGGAAACAATACTCAAACAGAAAAAACAAGCGATGGGCTTGGTGCTCCACTATCCCATTTTACGGTCTTTTGCTACTTTCCTTGTGTTCCAGATTGCAGAGCAAGAACACCCATAAAGAAAAAGGGGATGTTTGCCAAACAACCCCCTTTAATCGGCCTTTTGCAGTCTGTTCACATTTACAGTGATGCAAATCACATGAGGAACGCTGCTGGCCAATAAAGAATTTACTGAGAAATTACTTCTAGCTGGATGTAGTAAATGTTATGGCATGAAAAGAGGGAATGTTAAAAGCAGCTGCCAAATATGCTGTACTTATTGTTCGACTGCATCAGAAATACTGGAAATCAAAAGGCTGCTCTTTGGTAGGACCACGCGTGTGCTTAGGGAACTACAGCACACTCGTCCTGCTTCTCCTTGAAGCCTCGCTTCTCTGCCATTTGTGGGAAGTGTTCGCAAAAGTTGGTCGGATGCAAATAACCAGCTAATGCCTCCAACTTCTCAGCTTGGGTTTCTTTGTTGCGAGGGCTGTGTTTTTTTGTTTTGTTTCGCTGCCCTCAGCTCCTGAGATCACCTCCATATACCTGGCCTATTAGTGAGCGCGAGCAAGCTGCTGCTGAACCTGATTCCGTGCTCGGTTGCAGAGCAGAGCCCCTTGTGCAGCACTTGCCCAACTTACTCCACAAAGGTAATATTTTTAAAAACATGTGCAACAAGTGCATGCTCTCTTGTGACCAAATGCTGAAAACCCAAATTGTGCTGGAGGGTTTGGAGTGATACCGGTGTCATCCGAGCTGGCAAAATCATTAATCACAGGGGTCCCCTGAGCACAGCAGGTGGATGTCCTGCGATCCAACCCCACTTCTAGGAAACACACTGATCCTAATTGTTGCAGGCCTGCTACACACAGTTCAGCCGGCCCCTCAGACATAAATCTGGCTTACCTTCCCCAGGTGCTGCACCTTCCTTTAAGACCAGCCATCTCCCATGCTTTGCCACCGTGCACAAGCCTTTCTTCATGAATCAAAATCACTGTCACGCAGTAGTGAGAAAAATAAGGCAACAGTGTAAAACTGCACCAAAGCAGTCATTTTCCTTTTATTAATGTGAATTACAGTCACTGTTACCAGAAGCAACAACCAAATATAACAACTGTTGTCTGC